GTCATAAAGGGCATCTTCAACCGGAGGTCCGGCTGAGCCCTCGAACTCGTAGTCAGGATCAACCGCCGTCCATCTTGTACGGGCCATTCTGTCCTGCACATGAGCATAGACGGTCAGATTTATGGCATAAGAGTGGACCAAACACTCCCAGGCGGCATCCCCAGTCCTAGATTCAGCCGTCCTTGGTGACCGGTTGACATCAGTTTTAGGTTGTGCCAAGTGTGTGTTGGGTGAGTCCATTTCTAACTACCTATTCAGCCGGAAAATTGATAAAGAGTTGTAAGAAGTAAAGGCGGTACCTTAGTACTGAAAGCTGAAAGTTGAAGTTGATTGGTACAAGTGCAGACGGTCACTACAAATATCTGCAAAAATAAACATCAATTAATCAGAAATCAGAAAATTACCCAAAAACACCCCACCCGGTATTGGTCAAACTTACCCAAAAACACCCCATCCGATATTAGTCAAAGTTTTTGGTCAAACTTACCCAAAAACACCCCATCCGGTATTAGTCAAAGTTTTTGGTCAAACTTACCCAAAAACACCCCATCCGGTATTAGTCAAAGTTTTTGGTCAAACTTACCCAAAAACACCTCATCTGGTATTGGTCAAAGTTTTTGGTCAACCTTATCCAAAAACACCCCATCCGGTATTAGTCAAAGTTTTTGGTCAAACTTACCCAAAAACACCCCATCCGGTATTGGTCAAAGTTTTTGGTCAAACTTACCCAAAAACACCCCATCCGGTATTGGTCAAAGTTTTTGGTCAAACTTACCCAAAAACACCCCACCGGTATTGGTCAAAGTTTTTGGTCAAACTTACCCAAAAACACCTCATCCGGTATTGGTCAAAGTTTTTGGTCAAACTTACCCAAAAACACCCCATCCGATATTGGTCAAAGCTTTTGGTCAAAGTGACTCAAAAGCCCCCCAGACGGTTAAAACCAGATGGGGGTCTATTGAAAGCTTTTGGGAAAAATTATAAAGTTTACCCAAAAGTTCACCCAAAAGCACCCCAGACGGTAAAACCGGATCACTACACGAATTAAGCTCATTTCCGACGGAAAATTCCCGTCGGAAAATTGTGAAATCGTCATTTCTGTCGGAAATCCGTCGGAACATGTCTGTCGGAAAACCTGTTGTTGGAAAAAAGGTAGTTTCCGACGGATTTCCGACGGAAATGTTGATTTTGTCGGAATGATTTCCGTCATAGCAGGATCTAACTTTCAAAGATATAGTCCGTCGGAATTTTCCGACGGAATATTCCGTCGGAAAATTTATTAAAAAAAAAATAAAAAAAAAAAGCCCCATCCAGCCAGCCACCCAGCCCCACCCACCCAGACAACCCAGCCCCCACCCACCCAGCCCCACCCAGACACCCAGCCCCACCCACCACCCACCCAGCCCCACCCAAACACCCACCCACCAAACGCACCCCACCCTTACCCAAACGCCCCCCACCCAGCCAACCCCTGACCAAACGCCCCCCACCCAACCCCTGACCAGACCCAGGCCACCCAACCCCACCACCAACACGACCCACCCAGCCACCCCCTTACCCAACAAAAATCGAAATTAAAAACAAAATTAAAAAATCAACAAAAAAATCAGAAATTAAGGAAAAAATCAACAAAAACAAAGTTAAGGAAAAAAAATCAGAAAATCAATCCATCAACAAATATTACAAATTCAACAAAAATTAAAAAGTTAAGGAAATCAACAAAAAATCAGAAAATCAATCCAACAATTACAAAAATTTACAAAATCTACAAAAATTACAAATGTTGTTGTTGTTGTTGTTGCGTTGTTGATGTTGTTGTTGATGTTGCTATGCGTTTGTTGATGTTGTTATGGTTGTTGACGTTGTTATGCGTTGTTGATGTTGTTGCCTTCGTTGTTGTTGTTGTTGTTGTTGAGGTCGTCGAAGGAGAGGAAGGAGGAAGGAAGGAGAGGAAGGAGGAAGGAAGGAGAGGAGGACGTACAGGAGAAAGAGGGGAAAGAGGAGATAGAAAGAGAAGGGGAAAAAGGAGAGAGAAAGAGGCGGAGGCAGTGAGGGAGAGAAGGGGAATTAGGGTTAGGTTTTTATAAAAATAAAGTTTCCGACGGAATATTCCGTCAGAAAATTCCGACGGATTAAGTTCTGTCGGAATATACCGACGGAATATTCCGTCGGAAACTCTATTTTTTTTTATAAAAAAAAATTCTCTTAAATTTTTATATAAAGATTTTCCGAGGGAATTTCCGACGGAATTGTCCGTCGGAAATTCCTTCATCCTTTAATAATTTTTTTTTTGTTTTTCCTGTTTTATTTACAGGTTCCGACGGAATTTTCCGTCGGAAAATTTTTTTTTTTTTGTTTTTCCTGTTTTATTCACAGCTTTCGACGGAATTTTCCGTCGGAAGCTGTAATTTCCGAGGGAATAAATTCCGTCGGAAAATTTCCGACGGATTTTCCGTCGGAAAATTTCCGACGGATTTTCCGACGGAAATTTCCTTTTGCCGACGGAATTTTCCGACAGGTCGTAATTCCGTCGGAAATGTCGAATTTTCCGACGGAATATACGTCCGTCGGAACGTTTTCGTCGGAATTTGGCCTATTTCTTGTTGTGGATGGGGGTTTATTGAAAGCTTTTGGGAAAAAATCCTAGTTTACCCAAAAGCACCCCAAACGGTTAAGACCGTCTTGGGGCTTATTGGAAGCTCGTGGGAAAAGTCCTACATCTACCCAAATGCCCCCCAGACGATTAAAACCGGTTGGGGGTACATTGAGGAACCTTGGAAAAATGGGGTCATTCAAAGACCCCCCAGCCGATCATAACCGGATGGGGGTCCTTTGAGAGCTTTGAGAAGCAACCCAAAAATTACACAACAGTACCCCATGCGGTTTATACCGGATGGGGGTTTATTGAGAGGATAGAACAAATTTTCCAAGATTACCGGCTGATCAAAAAATAAATATATTCGGCTGGTCACCCGATACTGTATTATACCGGATGGGGTGTTCCAAGATAAGCTAACTAAAACCGAATGAGTATGCAAAGAAAAAGATGAGTTTCAAAGTTACCTCAGCCGGAAATGACCAGGCGTCTTGAGTCAGGAAAGAGAGGAAGCCGGATGTGAAGAAAAAAGAAGGATTTTGGTGTTTACAAGCGGCCGGTATCAGAGCTCTTTTTTCAATTTTTGGAAATTTGCAAATGTTGCAAATGATTAAGGGGGGGTTCCTTATATAGAGATCAGGGAAGACGAATCGTCACTTCCCTGATTCAAAATTCAAAATTTGGCGGGAGAAAGACGAACCATCACCTCTCCTTCACCAAAAAAAAAAATGGAGGGAAGGAGACCAACCGTCCCCTTCCCAGAATTGTGACAACTGTCACATTGCATGTTACGTGGCATGCCATGTCACAGATGCCACATGGCACGCCACGTGTCATCTGTGAGGGGCAAATGATTAGGGTAAAAAATACCCTAGCCACGTGGCCTAATCAGGGAGTGCCACGTGTCAGTCCCAGAGAGGGCAAGTGGGAGCCAATCCCAGGCTGACACGTGGCAGGCCCCCCCATTGGTAGGGATACAGTTCCCCTGCCCTATAAATAGAGGAACAGACCTCATTAATGGGGCATCTAGAAAATTAAACACAAAAAACACAAAAGCAAACAACATTTATTCTCTCTGAATTAGAAAGAAACCATCTACTTTTCCGCACTATTCACTTCGAACGTATTCTAATTAGATCGTTGGCGGCGGAACTCCACCCAACCGGAGTTTCGTTATTTTGCAGGTACAGCCGGTCAGCAAGCCAGTCTCGGAATTGTAACTCTCCCGCAGGACACAGAAAAAAACCCCGAAACAACTGTCATTTGGTTCGTGATACTATAACTGATGGTTTGATTGATCCCTCCTATGTTCCTACAAATGCACAATTGGCCGATGTATTCACCAAAGCTCTCGACATGTCGCAGTTTGACCATTTACTTCACAAGTTGGGCATTTTCACTCCTCATTCTCCAACTTGAGGGGGGTGTTAGGATTATTACGAAGAGTTAGAGAATATTTGGGAAGATACATCTTTGAGATTAATTACTTAATTATAGGAGTTTAATAAGTTGTGAGATTATTGTGTAAATCCTTTGATTCTATCATATTTTTAGATATTATCTTGTGTTATATATTGACTCAATCAATGAAAGAAGGCAAGCTTGTATGCCCTTTTATCAATACTTTACCGTTCCTCTGTCTCCAACTTGGAGTACTTTAGTATATTAATTTCATTAAATTAAGACCAAGTTTTACAGATTAGTATGTCATTAACTTTTATTCTACCAACTCCAACTTGGAGTACTATAGTATATTAATTTCATTAAATCAAGACCAAGACTTACAGATTAGTATGTCATTAACTTTTATTCTACCAACTCCAACTTGGAGTACTTTAGTATATTAATTTCATTAAATCAAGACCAAGACTTACAGATTAGTATGTCATTAGCTTTTATACTATCAATAAGATGTACCCATTTAATTATAGTATTCATTAGATTGTGACTTATGTAGTACTCTATACTCCATACTTTGTTGAATATAAAATCAAATTTAGAGAAGAAAGTGGTGATTGATTGGTAGGAGAAAGAGAAAGGGTACATGAGACCAACGGATAATTTTGAAAACATTAAAATAATGACAAATGTAGCCGAGAATAATAATTGAGATTTTTTTTTTTTCTTTTTTGAGACAGATGAATATTTGAAAATGAACCAAAATTAATAAAGTAATACGCAATAAACAAAGGTAGATTTACTAACAGTAGCTGGTTGAGCTCATTATATATACACTGGTAGATCTGAGTTGTAGTTTTACCAAAAACTGAAAGTTTAAACTTCATTCTCTGCTTTTTCTTCAAAGCTTTACTAAAAATTGAAAGTTTAAACCTCATTCTCTGCTTCAGACATGTCAACTTTACGTAACGTAGCAGAAACTCTGTTAACTGCAGTGGGAAGTTCCATGGTGAAAGAGGTGTTCTCCAAATGGGGATTTGAATCTGAACTGAATGACCTGATTAACACTGTCTCGGAAGTAGGGAGTGTGTTTCGTGATGTGGGTGCTAAGCACGAGCTTTCTGTCGAAACACGAGAGTGGGTTCAGAAGCTCAAGGATGCTGTTTGTGATGCTGATGATTTGTTTGATGAAATACTTACAGTGGCTGCTCAGACTAAGGGCCGCTTCCAACGTAACAATAAACTTCCTGATAAGGTACGCGATTTCTTTTCTGATAGCAGAATGTCTCAGTGTGTTAAGAGTATAAGGAATCAGTTGGGTAACAGTAGTTGTACTTGTATTTGTCATGGTAATACTGGGTTTGAAGTTGATTATCAGCTTATTATGGGGGGTGAGTGTGACATTCGTTCTCGTATAAATGTCAGAAATAATGAGATTGTTGGGAGGAAGGATGACATGAATGCTGTAATAGATTTGCTGTTGTTGGATACTAATAATTTGAAAGATGATGTTTCTTTCATTACAATTGAGGGAGTTCGGGGAATGGGGAAAACCGCTCTTGCTCAACTTGTATATAATGATCAAAGGGTAAGAGATGAGTTTTCGTTGAGATTGTGGGTTCAAGTCTCAAATGGAGATGGAGGTAAACTCAACGCGAATGAGATTCTTGGGAAAATTTTAGAGGCTGCAGGACGGTTTTATACAGATACTGATGATTTATTGAGCATAGAACTTACAGAAGAGCTTAGAGGGAAGAAATACTTGATTGTTCTAGATGATGTTAGTGGTAAGGATCAAGAAGAGTGGGTTGCTTTAAGAAAGTTTTTAATGTTCAGTGTAGGGGGGAGTCGGATTATAGTTACTACATGCTCGAATGATACTACGAGGGCTATAAGGAGCGAACATACATATGAGTTGAAAGGTTTGTCCAAGGAGAATTCATGGCTTTTGTTAGAGATGACTTCTTTTGGGAAAGGGCAAAAACATGTAATCCACCCTGAATTAGCTGAAATAGTTGAAAAGTGTGAGGGGTTTCCTCCTGCTATAAAAGAGCTAGGTATTGTTATATTTAGTCAGGATATTAACAAATTGGGTTTGTCTGAAGAGCACGCATTAGCCACAAATGATGAAGATAATAGGACTCCATTGACACATAATCTTATCCCTAATAATCTAGAAACTCGATTGAAGAGTTGCTTGAGTTATTGTGCAATGTTCCCTAAGGATTTTATCATTGATAAAAAGATGTTGCTCGAGCTGTGGATGGCGCAAGGATATGTTGTGCCACTTGATGGTCAGAGCATGGTGGATGCTGCTGAAGAATACTTCTCAATATTGTTAATCAGATGTTTGCTGCAACCTGTGAAATTGGATGAATATGGCGAGGTTGTGTCTTGTAAAGTCCATAGTCTTTTAGATGTTGGAGCACAGGAGATATGTGTAGTGGATTCTACTGCAGATAATAACATGGTCGAGAATAATGTCCTACATTTACATCATATTGGAAGTGAATGTCGTGAAAGCTCTTTTCCTAAGAGTAGAATTCGTTCTTTTATTCATGGCATTTTTGATCGCTCATTTCCACCACTAGAAAATCTTGTATCAAGTTGGATGTGTCTAAGGGCAGTAGACTTGCATGAGTTAAACATTGATAGTTTGCCAGAATCGATAAGTAAATTATTGCATTTAAGGTATCTTGATCTCTCTCATAATCATCTTAGAAGACTTCCAAATTCAATCACTAAACTACACAACCTGCAAACTCTGAATCTAGATGGTTGCACTAATTTAGAACAGCTGCCATGGGATATATATAAACTGGTGAACCTTAGGAGCTTAAATATTAATTCCTGTGCGATGTGTTCTATGCCTTTAGGCATGGATAAATTGACATGTCTTCATGTTCTCACTGACTTTCAAGTAGCGGAAGAGAGCGTAAGTGATAAGGAGGAAAGTTCGAGTGAAGATGACAGTTCAAATAGCGGTGAGAAAAATGTGGGCACGTTAAAAGATCTGAAAGCTCTCTCAAATCTAAGAGGCTCGATTAGCATCTCGATCCCTGCAGAGTATAAAGATGTCAACGACAATCACATCCTTGAAGGAAGAGGAGGATATTTAGGGAGCATGGAGCATCTTAAGGAAGTATCTATAGAGTTTCAAGGCCATGAGTATGGTGATGAACTAGCAATCAATCATGAAGATTTGCTAGAAAAATTACAGCCACATTCTAATCTCAAAGGGGTAGGATTGTGGTATTATCAAGGTACGAGTTTTACAAGGTGGACATCCAGTCTCCCAAACCTTATCAAGATAGAGATCGAATCTGCCATGGGGTTGCAACATCTCTCGTTGCTCAGCAAGCTGCAGTACCTGAAGTTGCTGACAGTATCAAGTATGGACAATTTAGTTTATATGGAGGATACAAACGGCAGAAGCAGCAGCAGTGATTATGCACAAGAACCCTCAAATTTCACTTTCTTTCCCTCCCTCGAAGAGCTCAGCATAAGCTATAGTCCCATGCTGAAAGGGTGGTGGGAAGGTGATCAACATCAACAGCTTGTTGCTGCGGATGGTAGCTGTTGGCAACCATCATTTAAGCGCCTTTTCAAATTGTCAATCTTGGGGTGCCCTAAACTAGAGTCATTTCCTCCATGTCCGAGGGTGAAAACACTGAGCTTGAGCAAACTTGATGAAAACTTCAAAATAATGGAGTTTAGGGATGTCGTCGATGATTACAATGATCATAATCGCCCTTCAGCACTGAGAAAGGTAAATGTTTTCGAGAATATTGGCTATCTAAAGTCACTGTCAATGAGCTCTGTCACAAGCCTCAGCATAACATGGGATCATAAGGTGGAGAGATTATCCCAAGCTAAGGAGGCATTTAGAAGCTGCTCCTCTTCTTTGCGTAGGCTTACAATCCAAGGTTGTGAGAACTTGAGGAGTGTTTCTCAAGGGTTAGAGTACCTCACTGTCCTAGAGTCTCTTTCAGTAATTCAATGTCCAGTTTTAACCTTCTCCGAGGAGGATGACAGCAATGAAGACGATGGCATGCCTTGGAGAGCCCTTCATCAGAGCCTCCGTTCCTTAGAGCTTTGGGGAGTTGAAAGCATGAGCCTTCTTCCTAGTGGGATGCAGTACTTGTCCGCCCTTCAGGACCTCACCATTGAACGTTCTCAGGAATTTAAGGCTTTACCAGAATGGATAGGCTGTTTATCATCTCTCAAGTCCCTTCGGGTTAAGTGTTGTTTGGAGTTCGATTCATTGCCAGAAACAATGAGGAGCCTCACCAATCTGAAGCTACTTGATCTGAGTTATTGTAAGCAAGGCTTGAAGGAAAAATGTCAAAATCCAACTGGAAATGATTGGCCGAAGATTCAACACATATCCTCCATTATCATTTCTGAATGATCACCAAGAAAATAAATTCTCATTAGATTACATTCCTTGAGCACTAAACTGCAAATATATGGACTATGTCACATAGTAATGTTTCATTTTAAATTATTGCTTATTGTAATATTTCATATTCTAATTTGAAATAGCTCATGCTGTATTTGTCAATGTTGATGGTGCTCTTTCATGTACACAAAATTAATGGTTTTTATTGTATCTGTCTTCTGTAATGGCAATTAAGAGTGGCTTACTGACACTTTTATTACATAAAGTAGTTAAAATATCATACGTCCTAGATTTTTAGTAAAAAAAAAAACAGAATGTGTTTCTGTTTCATGATAATACAGGGGTTTGGTCAATTGATATCAAAACAAAGTAAATTTACTACTATATATTAGGCAGAACTTCTATACAGTATTTACCAAACATAAGGCCAGGTTTTTAAAATCTAAAATGCTAGAAGTGCATTTCGATAAACTTACGGAACAGAGCTAATTTCTAAGTTATCGAGTATGCTGACAAGTTGCAATAACATATTTAATAATTCTACAACAAATCTCAATAAAAAAAAAAAAAAATCACATAAAATGTTTAATATTTAAATCGCACGCATATGACAATTATTTATGTATGGCAAAAAAGCAGTTATATGTATAAAGTTTCATTACATATTAAGAAAATTATCCAATAAAGAACTAAATTTTGTTTGTAACCCCAATACTAGACTAACCGGTTTATACAATTTAATTACCTTATCATAAAGTTAAATAATTAGCCTTTTTTTTATTTTTCTTTCAAATAATTAGCCTTTAAACTTGTATGGATGTATCCAGTGGCGGACTTGAGCTTAGACCTGGTGGGTCAAGTGACTTACCAGGCCCAAAAAAAAAATTTTAAGTTATTTTTTAAAAAAAAAAAAAATTAAAATCAGTTAGAGGAGACTTCAAGGCTTTCAAGCCCTAGCCTCTTCGTGCTCTTCGTGACTTCGCCTTCTCCGCCTAATCGCCTCCATTCTTCTCTTCGTGACTTCGCCTTCTCTGCCTAATCGCCTCCATTCTTAATCGCCTCATCTCCATTCTTCTGTTCGTGACTTCGCGTGACTTCGCCTCTTCGCTCATCTCCATTCTTCTCTTCGTGACTTCGCCTCTTCGCTTCGCCAGGCAGCCACCGTTCTCTTCGCCTAATCGCCTGGTAGTCGGACGTCGGTGACTCGGTGGTCGTGACTCGTGGACTCCGTCCTCTTCGTGAAATCGCTACTCGAAACGTCGGTGCTAGTAAGTTGATTTCTAATTTTTATTTTTAATTTCTAATCTTCAAATTAATTCAGTCTAATTTGTTAATTTTATTAAACTTTGGTTTAAACTTTGGTTGATTTGTTATTTTACTGTTGGTTGTGCTGCTGATTGCTGAATTTATTTTGTTCTTTGATTCCCTTTGGCTCTTGGCTTAAAGTCGAGTGATCTACTTACTCCTATTTTGAATATCTTTCAGTGGCTTAGCTGCTTTTATTCTTTCCTATTCATTATGTTGTCTTTTATTGCATCGGCCCGTTCATAATTGAGCTATTAAAGACTATTGATCTTTGTTATTGTTGTAACAACTGATTTGCTAAGCTGGATGATGAAATGTGGTTGTCTGATGTGGTTATTGCTGTCGCATGTGCATAAACAGCAGTTTCTGTCTCTTTCTTTGCTTATCTGTTAATTACACTCCTGCTCCTGTGATCAGGAGAAACCCTGTTGCCTGTTTCTATCTACAATCTACTTGCTCATATTTGTATTTTATGCTTTGAGGATGTCACTGCAGAACTCAGTGGGTATCATCTTATCAAATGATCATAAATTATCAGCCTTCTTGGTTAGATCTTGCTATTATCTGGTATCCACATTTTTGTACGAGATTTCTCTTAGTCGAGCCAATTTAAGCTGCCATAAATCATGCTATTCATTTTAGAGATAAAGGGGAAGAGAGTTTAATGTTTACTATCTAGATTCCCCAACAAATTTAGCTTCAGGATAGCTAGAATATCACTGGTAATATGTTTGTGGATGGTGACCTTAAGTATGTAGGTTTTTAAGTAAAGTCTTGATTCATGTTTGCACTTTTTACATCATATTTTATCATATATACTGTAAATTGGTCTTTTCTCAGAACAGTTATTACAGCTATCCACAAACCTTAGAGTTAACTTTTTTGTCTTGTGTTGCTCAACTGGAAGTTTTGTTTTGCTAGGCATTGAAGCAAGAGGTTTTATCTTTGGTCCCCCTATTTCCTTGGCTATCGGAGCAAAGTTTGTGCCATTGAGAAAGCCAAGAAAGTTGCCCGGTACTTACACCCAAAACTTACGCCACTGGAGACTTGAGTGCTGCCGACTGCCGACTGCCTAGCAAGGTAGGTAATCAACTAATCATCAATTGATTTTTTTTGTGAAATCTGTTTTGTGTAATTGTGTAATTGTGTTTTGTGTAATTGAAATCTCTTGAACTTATTAGTTATTACTTATGTGAAATCTGTTTTGTGTAATTGTGTTTTGTGTAATTGAAATCTCTTAAACTTATTAGTTATTACTTATGTGAAATCTGTTTTGTGTAATTGTGTTTTGTGTAATATGTTTATGTCATTATGTCATTATGTGAAATTGCTTGATTTAGACCATTTAGTTGAATATTTATTCAAATAATTTTTCTGGGGAATATTGCTTGATTTAGTTCAATATTTATTCAAATTTCAGAATGAAGAGAAAACATACTCCAAATGAAATGCAAAACATTACTAGCTTCTTTGCTAAAAAAAAACCTACTCCAACTTCTCTTCCACATCCAACACAAAATGAACAAACTATAACTCCACCTCAAGAAAGTGAGCAACTTTCATCTCCATCTCATTATTCAACTCAAAATTCCCCTCAAAATGAACAAGGCCAATGTTCTCCTAATGCCCCAATCTTTGGAGAAAGATTAAGTGAACATGAATTTGCTAATCTTCCACAAGATCCAGGAAAGAGGAGAAAAATGAGTCAATTTCATAAAGATGATAGAGATTTAGTGAGAAGAATTTACATTCAAAGAAAGCCTTGTCAGCCCAAAGACTTTACATTTCCTCAAACTTCTATTTTTGGCAAAAATCGTCGCTTTTGTGCTAAGTGGTTTGATACTTGGACTTGGCTTGAGTATAGTGTGGAAAAGGATGTTGCCTATTGTTTCCCTTGTTATCTATTCAAGGATGAAAATGCCTTTGGAGGTGATGCTTTTGTTAGTGATGGTTTCAAATCATGGAATCGATCGGATTTAATAAGAAAACATGTCGGTAAACACTTGAGTGCACATAATAATGCTGTTTTAGCTATGGATTTGTTCAAGAAACAAAATTCAAGCATCACACAAGCCTTAACAAAACAAACCGCTGAGAGTACAAATGCATATAGGACGCGACTTGAAGCTTCAATTGAATCTATCCAATGGCTTTTACTCCAAGGGTTGCCTTTCCGTGGTCATGATGAAAAAGAAAGTTCCTTAAGAAGAGGTAACTTTCTTTCACTTTTATCCCTTATTTCCAAAGGTAATCCTGAATATTCTAAAGTTGTTTTCAAAAATGCTCCTAGTAATTGTCAACTTACTTCTCCTAAAGTCCAAAAAGATATCATAAATGCATGTGCAAAAGAGACCACTAAAGCAATGCTTGAAGATATTGATGGTGGTTTATTTTCTATCCTTGCTGATGAGTCCGCTGATGTTTCTGACAAGGAACAATTGGCTCTTTGTTTGAGATATGTTAATAGAAAGGGAGAAGTGTGTGAGCGTTTACTTGGTATTGTGCATGTTGTAAACACTGCTTCTTTGACTCTCAAAACTGCTATTGAATCCTTATTAATGGAGCATTCTTTGTCTTTCTCTCAAGTACGGGGTCAGGGTTATGATGGGGCAAGTAATATGCAAGGTTCTATTAATGGCCTTAGGACTCTTATAGAGAATGAGTGTAAAGAAGCTTATTTTGTCCACTGCTTTGCTCACCAACTTCAATTAACTCAAGTTGCACTTGCTAAAAAGAATTCAGATTGTGCTTGGTTATTTGTTGATGTACTTGCACCTCTCTTGAATTTTGTGGGGGGTTCACCAAAAAGGAAAGAGTTTCTTCGTGAAAATCAAGCTCAAAGAGTGGTGGATGCATTGTCTCTAGGTGAACTTGAAACGGGTTCAGGTTTAAATCAAGAACGTGGATTAGGTAGACCTTGTGATACTCGTTGGGGATCTCACTTCAAGACAATCTTGAATGTACTTGATTTATTCCCTGTAATCCTTGGTTCTCTTGAGGATATTGCAAAAGTATCTGATACAATAGATTCTAATAGAGCTCAAACACTTACAAATCTTCTAATGTCCTTTGATTTTGTGTTCGTGGCACACTTGATGGTTAGTATATTTGCGATAACAAATGCTTTGAATGTGGCCTTACAAAAGCACGATCAAGACATTGTGAATGCAATGGCCATGGTTAATGTAACCAAGACTAATTTGCAAAAAATGAGAGATGAAGGATGGGATTCTCATATGGAAAAGGTAATTTCTTTTATTGGTGACTATGACATTGCAGTTCCAGATATGGAGGCTAAATATGTTGTTCCCGGGAGGAGGTTGTTTAGAGGTAAATGCCCACAAGTGTCTAATCTACATCATTTTCGAGTTGAAGTTTTTTTTGGTGTCATTGATCTTCAATTGCAAGAACTTGAAAATCGATTTCCCGAAATAACTAAAGAACTACTTGTGTGTATGTCTTGTTTGAGTCCTGTGGATCGTTTTTCTAAGTTTGATAAGGAAAAATTGATTAAGCTTGCAAAATTCTATCCTAATGAATTTCCAAGTTCAGAATTGATAGTCTTTGGTCATACACTTGATAGTTACATTTGTTCTGTTACAGGAGATGAAAGGTTTTGGAATTTGAAGGGTCTTAGTGATCTTTCAATCAAATTGGTTGAAACGGGATTGTCTGAAACTCATGATAGGGTCTATTTACTTTTGAAGTTGGTGTTGCTTCTTCCTGTCGCAACGACAAGTGTGGAAAGAGTATTTTCTGGCATGAAGCAAGTGAAAGACAAACTACGAAATAGCATGGGAGATCAAATGTTGAATGATTGTTTAATTACTTATTTGGAGAATGATTTGTTTTTGAATGTTAGCATGGAAGATATCATGAATCGATATCAAAACATGAAAACTCGTCGAGAACTATTTTAATAAGTTTGCATTACTATTTAGTTGTCTTTTGTAGTATTATATGAACATTTGGTTGTATTTTGTACTGTTTGAATATTTGGATGTATTTTTTAGTACTATTATTTGGTTGTTTGGTAAAAAAATTTTTTTACATATTTGATTATCGATTGTGACTCACCAGTCGGAAAATCCTGGGTCCGCCACTGGATGTATCTGTGAGGGCCTGAACTTGGGACAACGAGAGCAAAGTGACCGTCGCAGTATAAGACAAAGAGAACAAGTGACCCTCACAATACAAGCTCAACTACAGAACAAACTTATCTTTGTGTTATAAATTATGTGTATAATACAGATATTAATTCTTACCATAGCTTAAAAAAAAAGTTAATATTTCTTTTTGAAATTGGGGGACAGCTGTCCCCCTTGTTCCTTTGGTTAAGAATTAGGTACTTCGTATATAAGGTTTTAATTATGTTATTCCATCAAATAAATTAGAACAATTATTCATCTTCTCTACCAAAATCAAATTAAACGGTGGAAAATCATCATATTCCTCTGTTTTTATTCGTTCTATTATGACTTTTATACTATTGACATATATTAACTTGACCAATATTTATGCTTTATAAGAGTAAACATATTCATTTTGTTACTAGTTAGAATCATCTCAATCTATATTTTTCAAATAACAACTTTTTATAATTTATATACATTGATAATTAAAGATATATCTGTTGAATTTAGCTTTTGCAAATGTGCCAGCCAAATATTTAAATAAAAATAGAGGGTACTAATTATTATGTCTTTCTCTTTCACACGCCACTAAATAGTTACAAAACTGTTCTTCAATTTTAGTGGATTTATATGAGACAGGATGATAAGAACTACTAAGAAGGACATCAATGAAAAACCAAATGGATTAAAGAAATTGAATTAGGGGGACAGATGTTCCCCTTGTTCCTTAGTGGCTCTGCCAGCTCTTAATTATGTTATTTTATCAAATAAATTTGAACAATTATTCATCTTCTCTACCAAAAGCAAATAAAATGGTGGAAAATCATCATATTCCTCTGTTTTTGTCCCATTTTGACTTTTACACTATTTACATACACTAATTTGACCGACATTTGTGCTTTATAAAAGTAAACGTATTCATTTTTGTTACTGGTTAGAATCATCTCAGTACATATATTTTTTCGTATATCAACTTTTTATAATTTATATACATTAATAATTAAAGATATCATCTGTCAAAGTTTAACTTTTGCAAATATACCGGCCAAAATTTTAAATAAAACTAGAGGGTACTAATTATTTTGTTATTCTCTTTCACACGCCACTATATATGTAGTTACAAAATTGTTCTAAGGACATCAATGAAAAACCAAATGGATGTAGTGGAAGTGAAGATGAAATATTAAGTAACACGTTATTCAATAATACATTCTTTTTACTTTTTAATTGTAATTTTATTTTACTACTTTACCTAGTCAACTAAATAAGTGGCCTAAAGTTAACATTAAACTAGTTTTTAGGCATGAGTGATGCCTGAGGCTATATATCTCTTAAATGTTAATTATTAATATTTTACTTTAACAAAATAACATCAATTACTAAATAGTCTAGTTGATAAAACTTTTTTTATGGTATCCATTAGGGATGGCAACGGGTCGGATCCGGAACGAATCCGACTGAATCCGGATCTAGATTCGTTCAGACCCTGGATCCAAATCTAGACCTGCCGGATCCTAAAAATCACAGATTTTCCAGATTTTTCAATAAACAAATTTCAGCAAAACATAGAGTCAATAACCGAAACTTAATATCACACCTACATTGACCAACGTTACTGTCTCGCTGATACAACTTACAATCATAAAAAAAAAAAAAGCTTAGACTAGTTTCCCAATACTGAAATACAGCGTTGCCAAAGCAATATTGGATGCAATTGAAACATTTTAAACAGAAGTTGCTTCAACTTAAGTAACAAAACATCTGAAGAGTTCCTAAGAGATAATCCCGAAATCTGTGAAAACTTCTCATTACAATTTACAAATTACAAAACTTCTCATTACACCCAAGATTACTGTTTTACTTGTTTCAAATTACAAAACTTCTCATTACACCCAAGAATACTGTTTTACTTGTTTCAAATTACAACTTGTAATACTAATGATGTCTTGACATAGTTGTTACAGTTGAGACATTGTACACCATAGGTCACAATTTTCACAATTTCAAATCCTCCCTCCCCCATTTGTAATTTATATTGCTCAATTACACTTTTTTTTAAGTTTTGTAATTTCTTTAAATAATCAAATTATTGTTATTATTTTGATTTTTTTTTTTTGCATAGTAGGTAAAAAGAAGGCATCCTATTATTAAAGTCTTTCACAACTTGATTGACTCGAATCAAAAACTCCTTTTACAACTACCAAAAAAAAAAAAAACATAAGGAAATTCCATCTCACCAAGTTGCTCCTAAGGGATTGATGCCACAATTTAGAAGATTACTACCTCACTTTCATAATAATCTTAGCATTTTTTGTGCCATGTTTTTAAAATTTCTTAAAACTTTTACTTCGGTCTCTTGATAGTATAAAATTAATGTTATGGTTTAAATCATCAGTCAATTTAATTTTATTTTTAAAGAATTTAAACCATCAATCTTGGTTAAATTTTATGATATGACATCATCAAGTGTGAGAGTGACAAGAAGCAAAAATTCATCTAGGTTGAAAAGAGCTCTTCAATTATATGGTTGTACTCCCCCCCCCTCCCTTTTTAAATGCTTCGTTTGCTATTTTTAGGTTTTTTTTAAATACAACACTTCTATATTTGGTAAATTTATATAATAATTCCTCCATTCTTTTTTAAATGTAATACTTTGACTTTTACATTATTCATATATTCCACTTTGTCTAAGTTTGTTAATTTATAGTTAAGGAAATATAGTCATGTGAGATCTTGTTAGATTTGTCTCGGTTTATAGTTTAAAAATATCAAATTTTTATAATTTTGCCATATTAGTAATAAATCATAGGTATTAATGATTGAAATGACACATTGGTAAGCGTGTAATGAGAAGTAGCATTTAGGTGTCTACAAATATACAAAATGCCTTTACACGAGGATCTTAATGAGGAGGTGTACATAAAATATCCGCCTGGCTTTGAATCATGTCACCCAAATAAGGTATGTCGCCTCCGTAAATTCTTTTATGGCCTAAAACAAGCACCTAGATGTTGGTTTGCCAAACTTGTGTCTGCTTTGAAAGAGTATTGTTTTTTGCAACCGTATTCCAATAGATTATGCTCTATTCACTTTTACTAGTAGAGCTATACAGATAAATGTACTTGTTTATATTAATGATCTCATTATTTCTGGAAATAATTCCGCTGCATTAAGGGTATTTAAAGCATATCTTAGTTTTTCTTATGAAAGATTTTGGGTCTCTGAAATATTTTTTGAAGTTGCTCGTAGCTTTGCTAGTTTATTTTTGTGTTAATGGAAGTACACTCTTGATATTATTTCTGAAGTTGGATTGCTAGGCGCTAAACTTGTTGGTTATCCTATCGAACAAAACCACAAGCTTGGGTTAGCTAGTTGTGATGTTATTCCTGATCCCAAAATCAATCGAAGGCTTGTTGGTAGGCTCATTTAACTCGCAGTCACTCAACTGGATCTTGCTTATTTGGTTCATATCTTATCTCAATTTATGAAAGAACCCCGAACTAAACACTAGGAAGCGGTGCTAAGGGTCGTACGATATTAGAGGGATTTCCCGAACAAGGAATTCTTTTACGAGTTGATAGTGGTTTAACCCTGCAAAGTTGGTGTGATTCTAATTCGGTCGTGTGCCCCATTACGCGCAGATCATTAACTGGTTGGCTTGTGTTTCTTGATTGGTCATTCCCCCATCTCATGGAAGACTAAGAAACAAAACATTGTTTCTCGCTCTTCAGTAGAGGCAAAATATCGCTCTATGGCTGCAGTCACTTGTGAATTAAAGTGGTCGAAGGGTCTTTTATCAAGTTTGGGTGTGCATCATCCAAAGGCTCTTACTGTTTTGTGGCAGTCAATCAGCTATCCATATTGCTAAGAATCCTGTTTTCAGGAACGAACAAAACATATACAAGTTGACTGTTGATTAGGGTAAAAAATACCCTAGCCACGTGGCCCAATCAGGGAGTGCCACGTGTCATTCCCAGAAAGGGCAAGTGGGAGCCAATCCCAGGATGACACGTGGCAGGCTCCCATTGGTAGGGACACAGTTCCCCTGCTCTATAAATAGAGGAACATACCTCATTAATGGGGCATCCTGAAAATTAAACACAAAAAACACAAAAGCAAACAAAATTTATTCTCTCTAAATCAGAGAGAAACCATCTACTTTTCCGCACTATTCACTTCGAATGTATTCTAATTAGATCGTCGAAGGTGGAACTCCACCCAACCGGAGTTTCGTTATTTTGCAGGTACAGCCGGTCAGCAAGCCAGTCTCGGAATTGTAGCTCTCCCGCAGGACACAGAAAAAACCCCGAAACATTTGGCGCTGTCTGTGGGGAGAGTACTTCCAAGATGACTTCTGACTACGTACCGCCTGCTGAAGGCAAACGGCCTATGGTCAAAGCCGAGGTCCACACGGACCCTGGCAGTGGTGACGATAACGAGGTCGACACCTATATGGCCCCAGACGGGTCATTTAGGTCGCGACGCACCCGTTCCCGAGAAATAAGGGAACGGGGATTGGATGCAGTCCATGACCCCCAGCCGGCCAGCCTGCTGGGGTACCCCAGGCGGCGGAGGGCTCAGCCCCCGTCACCCGAGACGAGCTCATGAAATTCATGACTAGTTTCAAGGGGGAAATCACGGATATCATCAAGAAGTCTACTGGCTCTAATAGGGGTCAGGCGGCTAAGAAGCCTTCTCCCTCAAAGAGGGGGCAGGCAGCGAAGAAGGCTTCTCCTTCCGGGAAGAAGCAAGTAAAGGATCGGGTGCCTACTCCACACCCTAAGCCAAAGGGGGCGGATGGGCCCCTGATCGACCTTTCAAGGCTTTGTTTCCCTGAATCAGGGCAACGAAAAGCCATCCGGCAACTACAGCCGGATGGGTCCAA